ACATTTTTATTCCCCTGTCATCCACTCACAACAGCGTGTGCTGACTGCTGTAGTTTGTTTCCGATAATTGGAGAATGAATATGATTGGTTTTTGAGCCTCGTGGGACCCGGTTGCCTCGGTGAGCTGTTATGTGACACTGATATGATGTAACAAATTATACTCACACACCACCAAACACCCCATCCATAACTCTGCCGGAATGGTCGGGTTTATTCAATTCAATTCAATTCAATTTTATTTCTATAGCGCCACATCACAACAACAGTTGCCATACAGCTTTCCAAACAGAGCAGGTCAGACCCTACTCTGAAGTTAATTACAGAAACCCAACAATTCCCACCATGAGCAGGACTAGGCGACACAGGCAAGGAAAAACTTCCTTTTAACAGGCAGAAACCTGGAGCAGAACCACGGCTCAGGGTGGGCGGGGTTTATATACTGGATATAAACGCTGGACACTCTAGTGTGTTCTGGTGTGTTGTCATGTCTTGATTACCTATTGTGTTCACCTGGGGTTCCCTTCCTCATCAGATGGTTATCAATTTTTATAAATTCATATGATGTGATTTTCTGGAATTTTCTTTGGGATTCTGCCTTTCACTGTTAGAATGTACATATGATTAAAGTTATAGATCGTTGCATTCTTTGTAAGTGGGCAAACCTGCAAAATCAGCAAGGGGTCAAATACTTATTTCCCCCACTGTATCTATGTATTTATATTCTGTGTGGAATTTTGTATACATATATATATGTGTATATATGTATAGACATGTGTATATGTATATGCTGTTGTTTTATTTCTAGAGTTAAAAACAAAAATATTTTCCCTCTGGGATTATTAAAGTATTGTAATTCTGATTCTGATTATTTGTCTCGACAGATTCAGAAACCTGCTCCGTTTTGAAGCCGGGGGAAGGTTTTCTAGTGAGAGATAATATGATAAACCAGCTTTGCCCTTTCTGATGAACACTCCTGTTTGATCGGGTCAGAGAGTCTTTCAGCCCACGCACAAACGCACTGTGCACACGCCTCCCCCTGGATGAGTCAAACCCACTCTGAACCCACAACTACACCTGATCTGTGAATGAACACAATCAGGGTAACGACGCTATTTAGCTTTATTAGTCATCTCTGTTCCAGTTTCCCTCGTCTAAAGTGGGGAAATGACAATGATGCTTGACCACTTGCTTAATGAGCAAGACGCCCATTAAGATTCCTCTGGAGTATTAAGGGCCTTCTACTTAACCCTATAATGCCAAATGTGTCATATTTGATACGGTTTCTTTTGGATGTGAGACTTTCTGCATCATTCAGTGGTAAAAGCTTTGCTCAAACCCCTGTTGT